CACGTTGTCTAGAACCAAAATCCCAGCTCGGATTGCTCTGTGAGTCCGGGCGGGCCACCTAGCCTCTCTCCGCCTCTGTTCTCTTTATGTAAATTGGAGGAAGTAATAGTGCCAGCCTTATAGGGCTCTTTGGAGATGACATAAATTAATGGCTTCATGGAGCCTGGCACAGAGGAAGTGAGACATTGGTGCTAGCTCTTGTCCCACCAAGCTTCACCCTTGGTAAAGGACTCTTTAGGCCACAACTTCACATCTCAGTAAGGAAGCAGAACTGGTTGGCTCTCAGCCTGAATGAGCCTGCGGAGAGGTTTGGGATTGCGCCTCCACCTCCGGAGTAGACCACACTGCTGGGAGGGGGCGAGGCTTCCAGGCACCTGCGTGGCACGGCGCCAGCCAGGCCTGCGACCTGAGGCCTGGGTGGGAGCCGGCAGGCAGGTGTGTGGGGCGGGCCAGGGGAAGAGAATGTCATAGTAAAGGCTCTTTTAGCTGTAATGGAAACCCCCGGAGCAGCTCAAGTCCAAGAACGACTTTAAGAGAAGGCTACGTGAGGCATCTCATGGAAGCCTGGGCGGCCGGGACTCTGGTGGGGACACAGGGAAGCCAGCAGGCTGTAGGGAACCCTGCCTCCTTTCTCCTTTTCTTCCTGCAGCTCTGCTCCCTCTGCTTTATCATGCACGTAGCTGCCTCTTCCCTTCTGACCTGACAAAGCCACTCAAATATTCGCCCCACCAGGGGTGTACTGGGGTGTTGGGAGCTCCTTGCCGGCCTTCTGGGGGCGTGAATCTGATTGGCCCTGCTTGGGTCAGTTCCACTTTTGGTCCAATCAGCAGTGGCCAGTCGTAGCGGCCTGGCCCAACGCTGTGTGGGGAACACGGTGGTCTGAGACAGCTGGTCACTGTGATCTGGGAGTAACACAAGTCTCTTGTAGTCTCTGTCCTTAAGAAACATAGATCTCATTCTTGGCATTAACTTGCCTCAGCCAGGGCTGGTCTTGCCATGTCTTGCACTTCCTCTGTGCAAGGCACCATATAGACACTGATGTATTTAACCTTCAAAGAGCCTTATGAGGCTGGTGCTATCATTTCCCTCATTTTGCATGAGCGAACTGAAGTCCAGAGAGGTTAAGTGGCTCACCCAGAGCCACACAGCAATGTGAGCTGGGTTTTGAT